GGCAGCCTGAGAAACGCGTCCCGGGGGCTCGGCGACAGGCCCTGGTGTGAACCCCGGGAGACTGCCTCGCAGAGAACGGGGGGAACATGAAGTAAAGACACCTGGACCCTGCCCGGCCAGCGTGGCTCCATGGTTGAGCATCGACCTATGAGCCAGGAGGTCACGGTTCAATTCCCAGTCAGGGCACATGCCCGGGTTGTGGGCTCAATCCTCAGTAGGGGGCATGCAGGAGGCAGCCGATCGATGATCCTTTCTCATCATTGATGTTTCTATCTCTCTCCCTCTCCCTTCCTCCCTGAAATCAATAAAAACATATTTAAAAAGAAAAGAAACCTGGGCCGAGTGTTGGTGAGCAGTGACCCCAGAGAGGCCAAGACACACACCTGAGGGCCAGGCGAACCCTGGAAAGAATGGTCGTTAATTGTCAGCCACGGAGGGCCACCCATGACGAAGTGGGGAGGGCCTCTGGCTCCGTTAGCATCTGGCCGGGACGAAGGAAAAGGCCAGTGAAGGCCGATGACCGATGACAAAAGCGTCCCCGAGAAGCTAGGCACAGAGCCCACCTGCCTCAGAAGGTGCCCGCCCAGCGCCTCCGGTGAGAGGCTGTGTGAGGTTGGTCTCGGCCGTGAGCTTGTTTGTAACGGTTATGTCGCCCTCGCAGGATGCCCACGTGCGCCTGCAGCGACTGGGGGCATTTCTGTCCCTAACTGGCTTTGCTCAGGCGGACACCTGCTCCTCTCTGGGGGGGGGGGGGGGGTGTGTGAGAGCAGAGGAGAGCGCCTGGGAGACAGCCCCCTGGGCCTGATGCGGGGACTGCGGGCCACTGTCCACTTTCTCAGCCCATCTGCAGCCCCCACTCCTGTCTGCAAAAGAGAAAAATGCTCCTTCTGTACCCCAGACCGCTGGGTCCTGCTTCTCAAGTCTCTAATGCCGCGTGGGAATCGAGAACAAACCCAGGACTCGCGATTCCACCCGCAGGAACCTGAGCGGCCCCGCCCCGATCCAGGCTCCCTTCAGGAGAAAGGACTACGGATCG